AACTGCAGCCACCGTTTATCCGGGCGACTTAGCGAATTACTGGAGTCTATGCTCCTGCAATAAAGTGGTTCTGACCCTGCTGTTGCTTCAAGTTTGTAACACCCTGGGCAAAATCACCCTTCCTGTTTCAGCCCCATATGACCTAAATTGTGTTGGTGCATCATTAAACCAAACAAAACAAACACATCTTTTAGAATCAAAGTGTTGGAAGTTTAAAATTACAATTTTCTCCTTTATAAAAAGTATGAAAGTTTACCTTATCTTTGATGTGTAGCCATCCGAACATTTTAAACAGTCAAGATGATATAACTGCCAACAAGATAGATAACTGCTCATGTTACTTACGACTACATATGCTGGAAAACTGAAAACATATATCATATACTATTACAAATATGTACATGTACATATATATACATGCTTTACAATAAATTGTTACATACAGCATGTCAAAGAGTCATTATATCATTACATAAGTTTTTTCCAGGAAATCTGATTCTTAGGAAAACTTTAAGAATAGTTTTTTTCACAGTTGTTTATGTTAATAACCAACCAATAATCACAAGAATGAAGTTATGGCATACCATAATACTGTTATTTAACCATTAGCCTCCTGGCAACAACTGATTCTACCATGTGACCAGTAGAGATTCTACCATGTGGCCATTAGAGATTCTACCATGTGGCCAGTAGAGATTCTACCATGTGTCCAGTAGAGATTCTACCATGTGACCAGTAGAGATTCTACAATGCGACCAGCAGAGATTCTACAATGTGACCAGCAGAGATTCTACCATGTGACCAGTAGAGATTCTACCATGTTACCAGTGGAGATTCTACCATATGACCAGGAGAGATTTACCATGTAACAAGTAGAGATTCGACCATGCGACCACTTGAGATTCTACCATGTGACCAGCAGAGATTCTACCATGTAACCAGTAGAGATTCTGCCATGTAACCAGTAGAGATTCTACCATGTGAATTCTGTAGAGATTCTGCCATGTGACCAGTAGAGACCAAGATCAGCCAGCACAGCTGTGCTCTCTCATCAGGGTCTGCACTGTTTGCTTTCTGTTTTTTTTTAAATATTTTCCTAAAACAATGAGTGATTTGGCTAGATTGAAAAATCAACAGGTCTTTTTTTTGTTATTTAGCATGGTTAGGATAATGAAATATGATTATAGGTATCTACCTTGTAAGGAATTTCTTAAAATTTTCTCTCTGTCGTGATCTCAGCTGTTTATCCAGCAACTGTTGCTGTCTGACAGTAACAAAATCTTGTACATTATTCAATACTGTGTGACATTCTGATATTATATGTTCCAGCACTGACAGGACCTCCCCTTCTCTATCTGTACTATGTCCATCTACAACCTGAAATATCAATTCAATAATATAGTCCAACTAGAGATGTCAGATGGAAAAACATCTGAAAATCCTTTACCTACACAAGACAGGTATTTATGCGAGAGTTTCGAGTCTTGGATAGAGCACTATCAATATATATGACCCTAAAGACATTTTAATACCTTTCTTTATTAATAATGGACAAAGATATAACTGATAATTTGATAAGTACATGTAAAGCAATGTTGAAGTTTATTTAACTAGTAACTTTAGAATCAAGATTAATTAAAACAAATTATATCAATCATGCTGACTTAGCATTTTTAAGCAAATAATTTGTTTATTGTACTTTCAAACATAATACCTACTATTATTATATTACACAATAATATAACAGTATTCATCGGACTATGTTTATCTGTTTTTTAGGCTGATTTCAACACATTTTTAGTCATGATCTCTGTGGTTTGTTCATTGTCTCGGCTTTCCTGGATACCTTATTAGTAATAACCATTTTCTAAACAAGTGACCAACTGTAAATCCAACATGATTTCTGAATCAGCAGAACAACAAAAGACCATAAGACCGAATGTCTAAGATCAATGGCCATAGAGAAATTCTGCCTCACAAAGATCGAACCAGTGACCCTATGTTATAACCCTATTGAGGTAAGAGGGTAGATATAAACACAGTATATTACCTGGCACTGTTTATATCTGTATAACGTGTGAATTGGATGTGACAATATATCATCAATTGTTGAACTAAACCTGGAGCAACTTGTGTAGGATAAGCTGAAACGTAAGAAAACTAGAAAATTAGTGTACAACAATCCAAAATATCATAAAGTAATTTAGAAAATATTTGTAAACAATAAAATAGTAAAAAGCTTAAGTATGTGTTGTAAATGTTAAATTGTACTAGTGTCTATACTCATCATTTTATTTTAGTACATAATGAATTATGTCAAATAATTTTTTTCCTTCCTCTAGCATAAATTGCTAGGAAATATAGATTCCAGGGGTGCGATTCCTAAAGAATCGTAAGTCTAAAACATAAGACTAAAGTTAGGACTGGAATAAAATTGCACTTAGGTGCCTTTCAAGAAACTCTCCTAAGTCTTGTACCTAGGAATAGTCCTAACGTTTTACTTCAGACAAAATCTTCCTAGTGAAGTTAAACAAGAGGGCCATGATGGCCCTGAGGTCGCTCACCTGTTTATAGGCACCCCCCCCCAACCCCCCACCCCAACGTTGCAGGGCCAATTTAACCACAAGGGCTTTTATTTTGCACAAACTTGGTAGACACCCATAAGAAGATGTTTCATGCTAAATATCTAAGCTCTAGCTCATTGGGCTTTTTAAAAGAAGATTTTTTTAAAGTTTTTACTATACACATATAGTTGAAAACAATGACACCCCTGGGGCCTGGCCAGGGCTTTTATTTGAACAAACTTTGTAGACACTTACTAGAAGATGTTTTATGCTTAATATCTAAACTCTAGCTATTTGGGTTTTTTCAAAGAAGATTTTAAGTTTTGCTATACACATATAAAGAAAATCAATGACCCCCGTGGCGGGGCCAATTTTGACTCCAGGTCTTTTATATGAACAAACTTTGTAGACACTCACTAAAAGATGTTTCATGATTAATATCTTAACTCTAGCTATTTGGGTTTTTTCAAAGAAGATTTTTTAAGTTTTTGCTATACACATATAAGGAAATTTTAATCAATGACCCCCTGGGCGGTGCCAATTTTGACCTCAGGGCTTTTATTTGAACAAACTTGGTAGACACCTATGAGAACATGTTTGATGCTAGATATCTTAGCCATAGCTCTTTGAGTTCTTTAAAAGAAGATTTTTTAGGTTTTTACAATGTGCAAATAGGGAAAATCAATGACCCCCCCCCGGGGCAGGGCCAATTTTGACCCCAGGGCTTTTATTTGAACAAACTTGGTAGACACTTATTAGAACATGTTTCATGCTAAATATCTTAGCTCTAACTCTTTTGGTTCTTTAAAAGAAGATTTTTTAAGTTTTTACTATATGCATATAGGGAAAATCAATGACCCCCTGGGTCGGGGCCAATTTTGACCCCAGGGCTTTTATTTGAACAAACTTGGTAGACACCTATTAGAACATGTTTGATGCTCAATATCTTAGCCATAGCTCTTTGAGTTCTTTAAAAGAAGATTTTTTAAGTTTTTACTATATGCATATAGGGAAAATCAATGACCCCCCCGGGGCGGGGCCAATTTTGACCCCAGGGCTTTTATTTGAACAAACTTGGTAGACCCCCTATAGAACATGTTTCATGCTAAATATCTTAGCTCTAGCTCTTTGGGTTCTTTAAAAGAAGATTTTTAAAGTTTTTACTATATGCATATAGGGAAAATCAATGACCCCCCCCCCCCGGGGTGGGGCCAATTTTGACCCCAGGGCTTTTATTTGAACAAACTTGGTAGACACCCATTAGAACATGTTTCATGCTAAATATCTTAGCTCTAGCTCTTTGGGTTCTTCAAAAGAAGATTTCTTAAGTTTTTACTATATGCATATAGGGAAAATCAATGACCCCCCGGGCGGTGCCAATTTTGACCTCAGGGCTTTTATTTGAACAAACTTGGTAGACACCTATGAGAACATGTTTGATGCTAAATATCTAAGCATTAGCTCTTATGGTTTTTTAAAAGAAGATATTTAATGTTTTTTCTTTCGGTTGCCATGGCAACCAGAGATCTGCATGGAATTAAATTCTTTGAACAATTTTTAAAGGTGGCCACCAAAGGAACATTCCTGTGAAGTTTGGATGAAATTGGCTTAGTGGTTTATGAGGAGATGTCATTTAAAGTAAAAGTTTACGGACGGACGACGGACGGACGGACGGACAAAAAGCGATCACAAAAGCTCACCCTGTCACTTTGTGACAGGTGAGCTAAAAACCCAATCGCTCGTGACTTATCCCGCGATAAGTCATCGTCGTCTGCTATCAAGTATGTCCGACAGCGATCTTGCTATGAGGAAGGCACATTGGACTGACGAAGAGCTGCTTACACTTGTGGAAGCAGCTCAGTTCGTGATAGACATCATCAACAGAAAATTTGCCCTATTCCTCACACATGATAAGAAAAGAAAATGTTGGGAATCAGTAACAGAGCTGTATGTATCGAATAATTTTTTTTTGCAGTCTCTTTTCCATTTAAAAATAATCGTTTTGCTTTTCTTAACTGAAGGGAGATAAAGCATAATTAACAGGAAATAGAATTAATTATGACACCATGGCATCAATAGCTTAGAGGATCTTCATTATTTCCAATTCAACATCAGATTGGGAAGGATCAAAGGGAGTATTATCTTATGCCATTTGTCGCTGGTCATTATATGCCTTACCTTTTATTCAATGATAGCTTGATACATTCTGATTCATTTCACCCGATTTAGTTTGGCCTTTAATTTACTTGGCACGGGGTAACTCGGCCCATATTTATTTTAAAGTAATATTTTCAATGTGCTCAATACTCACAATTAATGACGTTGTTAAAGTGACATTATGTCCATCCAAGGGCATAGACAGTGATAAGGTTAATCTAAGGTAAGGTTGGTAAAATTTTAGGGTAAAAAATTTAATTAAAGAAATACACTATTTACCAATCAGGTGGGCTATAGAGGACTCCATTATTTGTCCATTTATCATATAAAACAACAATACATTTCTGTAAGTCATTGCCTAGCTGTACTTGTAGACTGGAGAGGGGATATTCTGTTCCTATATCCCTAAAAGATAAAACATTACACAATTATTGAAATTATATAGATTCTTATGTTCCTAAACATCTGAAAAAATAACATAAAACATGTCAGCATGAAACAACACATGTGAAATAACAGATTATTATTAGTCCTTAAATATAGAACAATTCATAGGTTCTTTACCAGTTTGGTATATTTCAATGAAATGCAGTATTTTTCTATAGAAAATGATATCTATCTTGTTCAATGAATCAGGGGTGTTTGTGGCCAAGTGGTTAAGATCATTGACTTCAAACTACTTTCCTCTCTACGCTGTAGGTTCCAACTGTGAAAGCATCATCGGTTCCTTTCTTTCAAGAAAGCTATACAGCTAGCTTAATACTAAACGTTGGTGGTTCAACTCAGATGCCCGTTAGTGCCTGAAATAATACATAGAAGGGCACCCAAGGTTATCCTTCACCACTTAAAGCTGGATAGTCACCATATGACCTATACTGTGTCTGTGTGACGTAAAATCCAATCCCAAAAAAAAATATAACGAACCTTGAAACTTGACTAATTGGAAAAATTTCATGATATTTTCAGTTCTGAATATTTTCTAAACCAGCTTTAATTAGTTAGTAATACACAATTTTATTTGTACACTACTATTATTATTATTAATTATTCATGTATTATAAAAAATCTCCTTTATATAATAATAATATACTGAAGGACAAACTCTTTGAAAGTTATTACATGTAGTTAGAAAAAAAATACACACAAATTAGAACTTGAATAGTATTCCTACCTTTATGATGGAAAAAGTGATTAATAAAAGGTACAATAAAATGATTCAACTAAATATAATTATGTTATAAAGTTTGTAAAAAATATCTGTTTATTGTTTAATGAAATGATTTAAAAATAAGCCATTCCTATTCATCATATATATTTATTTACACATCATTTACAGGAGCAGGAAGTAAAAGTGTTACCTTTCTGAGAGATCAGGATTATATCTGATTAAATCATCTATTTTTGTTGCCTGGTTACAGCATCTCTGTATCTGTAATATTTATTCATAATTCTATAAATCTACAATTCATTTATACAATTATACCTATCTGGCTGAGATATTTTAATTTTCTAAATCAAAGATACAAAAAAGTTAACAGTAAATTTTGAGCAAGACTCAAGCGTTGTACCCTTTTATGAGTAAAATAAATTATAATTGTGTTTGGTCTTTGTCCTACTTTTACATCCGACTTTCAAAATTTCTGACCGCCTTTTCCCCATAAACTGTCTTCAAGAGCATTTATTCAACACATAACTATGCATGCAGATGAAAAGTAGGGCAAAAGCAAAGTCAGTTAGAAGCTATCATGCTTTGAAGGGGAAAAAAACACTTTAAACGGCTATTATTGTTTGCTCTGCTACATCCTATACCTGTTTTAATTGTCTGATTTTTTAATAGTGTCAAACTATTACATAAATAAAATTTAAGTAAAATCATAGGGCAAATCCTATCACATGGGACACAGAATCTGCCCTCATACATACACAAACAGACAGAAATATATATAATAAATATTAGTAGATAAGATATTATTGTAAATACTGATTTAATGTTATAGTGATATATCACTTACATTTTTCTGCAGAACAGTAATTCTGTGGAACTGTACTCTATATTCTGATATATGTCTATATACTTTGCTAATTTCTCCATTTAGTACCTAAAACATGTAAAACACTTTTATTTTCTATACAAGAAACATGGCTATGCCACGAAACCAGGTTTTCAATTATCTCCATTGTAGATAAATATGTTGTATTTGTAATACAAATGCAAGCAATAAACAATGTAACTATGTGCAATGTAAAACATGAATAATGTAGGAGGAAATGCCACAGAAGAAGTGTTCACTGTATATTCTGTATAAGGAAAAAATGTATTCTGTATAAGGAAAAAAAACAAAGGGCCATAATTAGGTCAAAAATTATCCAATCACAAAACCTCTACAATATGCGCCAGGGCACATGATGACAAAGCTTCTGTGAAAGTTTGAACAAAATCTGTTGAGAAATGTAGGACTAGTTCAGCACAGAAGAATTTGTTCACTATATATTGATTATTTATGGATTGGAATAATCAATAAACAATTCATAACTTTACATATCAATTTAATTATTTAAGCTTATTTCAGAGCTTGATGCCAGCATAGCATGTACCACTTATTTAATGTAATCAATAATAATAATAAACATAAAATAACATTATAAGGAACAAAGTCGAGACTAGAAACAATTTTATGACTAGAAATAAAATGTATTGGAATGTATGGCCGCATCTAAATATGTCATGCTAGGATATGACAACTAAATGTCCCTAGCATAACAAAGAAAATTCCAGCAACCGAATAAACCAGTTAAATGAGAAATTTTACATGCGAAAGTTACTGAGCATTTAAGGACAGATGTGCCTGCTTCCGGCATATGCGTGCCAAGATTGCGTAATTACCCTATGCAAGGGTGCCAAGATGCGTAAACGCGATAACTTCTGGCATATGCGTGCCAAGACTGCATAATTGAATATGCGAGGGTGCCAACTGCATAAATGCGGTAATAAATGGGAGCAACTTTCAAGCAAATACTCAGTTACTTAAAAATGCCAAAGAGACACCTGGGAAATACCGAGCATAGCGCAAGCTTTGAGCAAAACCCAGGACTCATATAAAAAATTCCAATTTTGAAATTAATGTAATCTAGTAATTCCAGCTTATAGAAGGATATTCTGTCGAAACAAGACCATCTAATAGATGAAATATATACCAGACTACAGACTTAAGCGTAAATAGTTTACGAACCGATTTTCCCGAAGGATGTACCATAGAGGCCATCGAGAGAAACGGTTTTGAAAAATTTATACATAAACATGACTGGTTCTCGGCTGCCAGAATTTTCGTCAAGATGCGACAAGAAAAAATTTACATGAACATTGTTGCACAATTTCATACAAGTTAAAATGTTATCCTTTCACATATTTATAAATGTTAACATAACACCAGTTGGTTATAAACGAAACACTGTTAAAGTTTTGTTTTGAACATCTTTTCGATATTTTCCCAAACTGCCTCCCGCTTAAACGATGATGTTGGAACTTTGGCTCTGTCAGTGTGTTTCTTAGGAGTTACTCATGACTTGTGGTACTGGTATGCCATCAATTATCGCTAAATTCCTCATGTACAACTGAAATATAAGCACAACCAGCAGCAGTATCCATTGGAAACAACATGTCATTTATAACAATAAACACAGTAATGTACATATATGAAAAACATTTCCTACATATTTATTGAAATTATGCCATAATGCAGACAATAATACACAGGAGTTTGAATGATAAATGGGTGTGGCGGATGGGAATACGTTGCGTTTCTTTCGGTTGTAAAAGCGGAAAGGAATTGTACATCCGGTGACTGGTATTTATACTCGACACCGGTAGTAATAACAGAACCAGTCCGATTATGTGCTATAAATAGCACGAAGAAAAACCCAATTATTCTTACCAAAATAAACTCGAGTTATTTCTATGCAGAAATAATCGGTATTATTTATGGATTGGAATAATCAATAAACAATTCATAACTTTACATATCAATTTAATTATTTAAGCTTATTTCAGAGCTTGATGCCAGCATAGCATGTACCACTTATTTAATGTAATCAATAATAATAATAAACATAAAATAACATTATAAGGAACAAAGTCGAGACTAGAAACAATTTTATGACTAGAAATAAAATGTATTGGAATGTATGGCCGCATCTAAATATGTCATGCTAGGATATGACAACTAAATGTCCCTAGCATAACAAAGAAAATTCCAGCAACCGAATAAACCAGTTAAATGAGAAATTTTACATGCGAAAGTTACTGAGCATTTAAGGACAGATGTGCCTGCTTCCGGCATATGCGTGCCAAGATTGCGTAATTACCCTATGCAAGGGTGCCAAGATGCGTAAATGCGATAACTTCTGGCATATGCGTGCCAAGACTGCATAATTGAATATGCGAGGGTGCCAAATGCGTAAATGCGGTAATAAATGGGAGCAACTTTCAAGCAAATACTCAGTTACTTAAAAATGCCAAAGAGACACCTGGGAAATACCGAGCATAGCGCAAGCTTTGAGCAAAACCCAGGACTCATATAAAAAATTCCAATTTTGAAATTAATGTAATCTAGTAATTCCAGCTTATAGAAGGATATTCTGTCGAAACAAGACCATCTAATAGATGAAATATATACCAGACTACAGACTTAAGCGTAAATAGTTTACGAACCGATTTTCCCGAAGGATGTACCATAGAGGCCATCGAGAGAAACGGTTTTGAAAAATTTATACATAAACATGACTGGTTCTCGGCTGCCAGAATTTTCCGTCAAGATGCGACAAGAAAAAATTTACATGAACATTGTTGCACAATTTCATACAAGTTTGTTAAAATGTTATCCTTTCACATATTTATAAATGTCAACATAACACCAGTTGGTTATAAACGAAACACTGTTAAAGTTTTGTTTTGAACATCTTTTCGATATTTTCCCAAACTGCCTTCCGCTTAAACGATGATGTTGGAACTTTGTCACCGTCAGTGTGTTTCTTAGGAGTTAGTCATGACTTGTGGTACGGGTATGCCAGCAATAATCGCTAAATTCCTCATGTACAACTGAAATATAAGCACAACCAGCAGCAGTATCCATTGGAAACAACATGTCATTTATAACAATAAACACAGTAATGTACATATATGAAAAACATTTCCTACATATTTATTGAAATTATGCCATAATGCAGACAATAATACACAGGAGTTTGAATGATAAATGGGTGTGGCGGGTGGGAATACGTTGCGTTTCTTTCGGTTGTAAAAGCGGAAAGGAATTGTACATCCGGTGACTGGTATTTATACTCGACACCGGTAGTAATAACAGAACCAGTCCGATTATGTGCTATAAATAGCACGAAGAAAAACCCAATTATTCTTACCAAAATAAACTCGAGTTATTTCTATGCAGAAATAATCGGTATTATTTATGGATTGGAATAATCAATAAACAATTCATAACTTTACATATCAATTTAATTATTTAAGCTTATTTCAGAGCTTGATGCCAGCATAGCATGTACCACTTATTTAATGTAATCAATAATAATAATAAACATAAAATAACATTATAAGGAACAAAGTCGAGACTAGAAACAATTTTATGACTAGAAATAAAATGTATTGGAATGTTTGGCCGCATCTAAATATGTCATGCTAGGATATGACAACTAAATGTCCCTAGCATAACAAAGAAAATTCCAGCAACCGAATAAACCAGTTAAATGCGAAATTTTACATGCGAAAGTTACTGAGCATTTAAGGACAGATGTGCCTGCTTCCGGCATATGCGTGCCAAGATTGCGTAATTACCCTATGCAAGGGTGCCAAGATGCGTAAATGCGATAACTTCTGGCATATGCGTGCCAAGACTGCATAATTGAATATGCGAGGGTGCCAACTGCGCAAGCTTTGAGCAAAACCCAGGACTCATATAAAAAATTCCAATTTTGAAATTAATGTAATCTAGTAATTCCAGCTTATAGAAGGATATTCTGTCGAAACAAGACCATCTAATAGATGAAATATATACCAGACTACAGACTTAAGCGTAAATAGTTTACGAACCGATTTTCCCGAAGGATGTACCATAGAGGCCATCGAGAGAAACGGTTTTGAAAAATTTATACATAAACATGACTGGTTCTCGGCTGCCAGAATTTTCCGCCACAATAAATTTTAACAAAAATTTATTCCCCAAAATTCAAAGACGAGAAGATAAACTATCCTTTAAAGAATCTAGGAAAAACTCTAATCCAACGTCAGATAAATGAACACCATCTTTGCGGAAAAAACCCGGAGTAGAACCGTCAATGTCAATGGACAAGATATAGCCTTTTGTTAGTGAACGCACTACTTGCCTACCATGGCGATTTATCCGACGACGTTTCTTATCGGCTATTTTCTTATCCTGATAAGTTCCCCAATTTAACCTAGGAAGGATGTCGCACCAAATTACATCACATGAAGGGAACGTACTGGCTACATACTTAAGCCCCGAGGATATCAAATTAAAGATACGTGTCATAGTCAGACCAGTTACATCATTGCCACCCAAATGAACAAGAAATATTGACGGTGGACTTTGAAAAGCAATTTTTAATTGTAGGCTATGTAAGAAACTTTCCCAAGACATACCCCTGGTTCCGTACCATCCTAACAATTTACCTGTTCTTAGATTAGGTTTTCCCGTATTGCCTGCCCTTACGCCAGCCCAATGGATAATAGAATCACCAACTAACCATATATCTGCAGTAAAATAGTTAAATGTTTCATATATTGAAATAAATTTTAAACTTTTGCAGTACATGTAGTTACTTGTTCTAATATATGAAATGCCTACATAATCAAGTAAAACTGAATTACTAACAATTTGAAAATATAAACCAGGTTTGGTTCTTTCACCAAGTCTAATACCTAATGTAGCCCTTGTAAGCTGAGGAACGCCAACGTCCTAATTTCATTATAGCCTCGGATGATAGACCTGATGTTGCTAGCTGTGTCGCCCTGCCAATACGGAAACTATGAGATAATACCCTTTCATGCGAAAAATTAGTTAAACGCAAACATTTGAGTAATACTCCCGAAAACTGGCATCTCTTAACTGGTACACAATTGACATGTATAAACAAGGGTCCAGTGCACGCAGGTCTCATGTTCAAAAATGATTTCAATGCACATACTGGACAAAAATTACAATCTTCCTCGCAAGGAATAATTAAGGTAGTTGGAATGCCAGAATGATTTGTTTTTGTTATTCTTAAGATAACCTTCACCTTCCTATTGCTTGGAAATGATACATCATTAAATTGAATTGGTCTGTTTTGTTCCAACAAATTAGTAACCACCAGTTCACTTGCCCTGAACATACCAAAAAATGCAAGCAGAAACAAAGCCTTAAAGAGACAAGTTTCGTAGGCATTGAAACAAACTAATGCCAATTTGGATACAATAACATTTAACATATCTAGAGTAATGGGGGCCCTCAAATCTTTGCGCGTTCGAGATCTCCTACAACCTTCTAGCAGCTTTTTAACAATAAAACTTTCACCAAAATCTGAAAAACCTTTCAATTTATTAAAGTGACTTAGCCCTGCCACGTATGTTGCTATTGAGTTAGGGGATAAACCTTTTTCAAAGCAATAAGTGATAAATAACACTACTTCAGTTTCCCTAATCATCAATTGATTTGTAAGCTTATAAATAGCCCTAAATTTATCAAAAGCCGATAAGGCAGTTCTATATGTTGCGGACGTATTTGCTGATAGGCTAGCATTTAATAACTGCCTTGATCTAGATTGCAGACATGCCATAGATGGGATGGCACTAGACAAGGTTCGAGATCTGCCTCTGGCGCCAATTCTCTGAATCTGTTGAACTGAAATCGAGAAAGGGAATCACAAATTTCATTTTTTGAACCTTGGACATGTGCAGCTTTAACAATAGTATTATTATGCAAACATTTCAGTGTAAGTAACCTTAGAATACACATAACATTCTCGGACTTTGAAGTCATTTTATTGATTATGTGAACCACTGCCATGTTATCGCAATTAAATAGTATTTTCTTATTCTCAAATTGCTTATCCCAAATATGCATAGAAACTAAAATTGGGAAAAGTTCAATAGCAGTTATATCCTTTGTTATACCGGTCTTGTGCCAAGACTCCGGCCAAGCGCCATATGACCAGTGACCTTGAAAATAAATGCCAAAACCCAGGTGTAAACCACCAGCACTATCAGTATATAGATTTAAATCTTCAGTTGTCAACCAAAACCGATCATGAAAAACTGATATCCCGTTAAAATCCTTGAAAAACTTCAACCACATAGACAAGTCTGCTTTAATACTTTTGGTTATTCGCAAATGGTGATGTGGCTTAGTTAACCCACATATTGCATCTATAAGCCTCCTGCAAAAAGGTCGCCCTGCTATGATTGCGCGGCAACAAAAATTTAAGGAGCCAATCAAGGATTGCATATCCCTTAAAGTGGTTTTTGTTTTTTGATACAACATTGTTTCAATTTTTTCCACTACCTCGTTTAGCTTATCGTGAGGTATACGCACCTCCATTAGCACAGAGTCAATTTCTAAGCCCAGAAAAGTGAGAACCTCACAGGGACCCTCTGTTTTTTCTTCGGCCAAAGGGACACCCAAATATTTAGCAAAATTAACAAATTCTTTCAATGCTGACAGGCACAATTCATTAGTTGTATCCCCACCTAAGAAATCATCCAGATAGTGAATTAATTTTGCCGACCCTAATCGTTTTTTAACTGTTAATTCTAAAAATGTTGAGAATTTTTCAAACAAGCTACAGCTGATTGAACAACCAAAGGGTAAACATTTATCTACATAATACTGGCCTTTATATTTGAAACCCAATAATTCAATGTCCTCAATGCAAACTGGTAATAACCTGAAAGCACTTTTTATATCTACTTTAAATAATTTACAACCTTGACCTAAATCTTGAAGCATGTACACTGCTTCATCAAAATTAGTGTATTGTACAGAACATATGTTAGGATCAATAAAATCATTGATAGAATTAGATTCCGGATAAGACAGGTGATGTATAAGCCTATATTCACCTGGTAATTTTTTTGGAACTAAACCAATTGGAGAAACCTGTAAATTTGGTAATGGTTTCTCCATAAAGGGGCCAGCTACCCTGCCCAACTTAATTTCTTTTTCAATTTTCTGTTGCACAATAGCTGGTTTTTCATAAATAGATCTCAGGTTTTTTGAATCCCTTGTAACACGAGGACCACTATATTGCAATTTAAAACCTTGTTTAAAGCCCTTAAATAATATTTTAGCATCCTCAGAATTATATTCTGACAACTCTTTACACAAAGCATGAAAATTTATAGGTGACTCGGCAATATTTGTGATATCAAAATTGCTAGAGTTAATTTCTGGTTGGTTTTTTATAATAACCAGCTTTTGGCTGTCTAACAAATGGTTGTTGTTGGCCTCGAAAAGGATTTTGTAAGTTGACTCTTGAAGAAGAGTCAGTCACCTGGCTTGTATTTGTAGAATTGCTTTTATTAGCATTACAATAAATAGCACCATGCCTGTTACTGCCACATGTTCGGCAAGAGTGTGCATACTTACATGTTCTACGAAAGCAAACCCCTTTATTGTAGTCTAAACATTGAAGTGGGGCACTAATACTATTATTGGCATTTTGCCTACCAAGGTTACAACGCCACCATAAATCTTGGTTAATATGACCCCAACTGGTTTTGTTGTTTGCCTGTCGGAGCCTGAACTGCTCGTCATACGACTTCCAGGCAGAACCACCCTGTTTAGATGCTGCTTCACGTATGTTAAACATATATTGCAGCAGTTCGGCTGTTTCACTTACATGAATGCGCAAATAAATAGATAAATAAATAATAAATGCATCCGTCCATTTGTCAATAGAGGAAATTACCTCCTTTTCTTTAGGCCTTGTTTCAATTCGGCCATCAGCCGACAAATGCAAAGTAGATGCACCAAAATCGGTAGGGCTTTCAATACCCCCTCTAAGTAGCAGTGATAGGTTTATAAATTCCCCTCTGCAAATTTGCTCCTTTACCGACATTGGCACATGCGCCGAAATATCGTCGTTATTACACCTCATCAAAAGTTCGAATCTAAACTCGGACGAAGCAGAACCATCTGGGGAATTCATTTTACCACCTGCTTGACACTGAGACGAAGAACCATCGTGGGGATTAACCACGCCACACCCTTTATCTTGACTAGCGGGAGGTATGATTTGAGATGCTCTTATAATCTCCTCAAAATCAACTCTACCTGTGCTTCTGTCGCTCTCATCTTCCTCCAAACAAACCCGCTGTCTTCCTTGATCCTTAGGCACCGTCGTAGACCTTCTCTTAACACCTCTCCCACGACCCGGCATTGTCGATTTCTTCGATTGTTGCGTTGTTGTAAAATACGTTGCGTTTCTTTCGGTTGTAAAAGCGGAAAGGAATTGTACATCCGGTGACTGGTATTTATACTCGACACCGGTAGTATTAACAGAACCAGTCCGATTATGTGCTATAAATAGCACGAAGAAAAACCCAATTATTCTTACCAAAATAAACTCGAGTTATTTCTATGCAGAAATAATCGGTATAATTCTGTATAAGGAAAAAAAACAAAGGGGCATAATTAGGTCAAATATTATCCAATCACAAAACCCTAACAATATGCGCCAGGGCACTTGATAACAAAGCTTCTGTGAAAGTTTGAACAAAATCTGTTGAGAAATGTAGGACTAGTTCAGCACAGAAGAATTTGTTCACTATATATTCTGTATAAGGAAAAAAACAAAGGGCCATAATTACATCAAATATTATCCAATCACAAAACCCCGACAATATGTGCCAGGGCACTTGATAACATAGCTTCTGTGACAGTTTGGTCAAAATCCGTTGAGAAATGTAGGAGGAGTTGCGCACAGAAGAAATTGTTCACTATATATTCTATATAAGGAAAAAAAACAAAGGGCCATAATTAAGTCAAATATTATCCAATGGCAAAACCCGGACAATAAGTGCCATGGCACTTGATGACAAAGCTTCCGTAAAAGTTTGGTCAAAATCCGTTGAGAAATGTAGGAGTTTGCGCACAGAAGAAATTGTTCACTATATATTCTATATAAGGAAAAAAAACAAAGGGCCATAATTAGGTCAAAATTTAT